GCAGATGTTCTGACGAAAGCTATCACGACTGATCAATTTCTCAGATTAAGGGATGGAATTGGTGTTACAAGTTTTGATGGAATATGAATTAAGGGATGTTATTAGTAATAATTCATATTTTATTATATTACTTTCTTAAGCCCATAAGTTTGTTAGAGGGTATTTTAGTATTTATCTTATTCTAGTAACCCTAGTTTTAGCTTATAAATAGGGTGACAATCATTGTAACTCTTAATCCTGTTTCTTCTGCCGTCATTCTTAATAGAATATTTCTACCTTTTCATCATTTATTCTACCTTTGCACCAACACCTCTGACATAGTTTGGTCGATTCAATAAAGTTTACAGCAGTTTAGAATGATCCGTTATGAATCAGCCTGTTTAGTCTTTATTTTTTAAAATGTTCACCATCATCTAAATATATGTATCTTGTAGTTTACAATGATGATATCGTGATTACATGTTATGATTATGAATGCATCAAAATATTTAAATAAAATTTCAAAATTTTCAGACTAAGAATTTGGGTGTTTATGTTACTTTATTGGGATTGAGGTGGCTCAATCAAAGTCAAGTACCGTTATCTCTCAAAGGAAGTATAATTGTGATATTTTGGAGAAGACATGTCTTATAGATTGTAAATTAGTTGGCATCATATGGATCCTAATATAAAGCTCATTTCTGATCAAGGGAAGCCCTATTGTGATCCAAACAGGTATTGAAGACTAGTTGGAAAATTGATTTAGAGAAGATATATATATTCTAATTAGCATCATAGTTAGTTTCTTAGCTCTCCTTGTGATAGTCATTGAAATGAAGTTGTTTGAATTCTAAAGTACATCAAAAGAGCACTTAAAAAATGACTTATTTTTAGTGATATACGTTGGGTATTCAGATGTTGATTGGATAAGAGATGTAAGTGATAGATGGTCTACTACATGCTATTGCTTTTTTTTTTTGGAAATTTGATTTCCTAAAAGAGAAAAAGAATAAAAGCAAAGTGCTGTTGCCTAATTACGTATAGAAGCTGAGTATCAAGCTATTAATCATGCTGCATGTGAATTTGTTGTTTGGTTGAAACATTTAATGCAAGAATTAAATTTTTTGTGAGGTTGATGAAACGGAATTTGTGTGCGATAATCAATCAACTTTGCACCTCTTCTTTAATATAATTTTTCATGAGATGACAAATCATATAGAAGTCAATTTTCATTTTGCTAAAGAAAATATTTTTTATGAAGTAATTAAAATCTCATTTGTCAATTCTAAAGATCAATTTTTCGATGTCTTACTTGTATTTGTAAAAGTACACTAGTGTAATCTTACTAGCAAATACTGGTGGAGTCTCTGTCGTTTCTATATAAATTGAGTATATCTTTTCCTTCGATGATCGTTTGCTTATATAGTAGTTTTGATACTCTCTGCACTTAAAGTCCATTAAGGACCATTAACATGATCGTCCCTGATTAGCGTGAATTTTAGTGGTGATTGAAATCAGAACCACTTGCCAGATCTTAGGCCATAATATTTATCAATTAGCCATAAATGTCATATATATATATATATATATATATATATATATATATATATATATATATATATATATATATATATATATATATATATATATATATATATATATATATATATATATATATATATATATATATATATATATATATATATTGCATTTAAGTCTAATTATTCTTCTTACATTAGTTTTGGTCAATAAGTACCACTCTGGTCCACCATACAGTTTTATCCGACCATACTCTACTGGGCGACCTATAATTCATAGACAATCTCTTTTGTCGTTATCTTATAACTCGTCCTACTCTTAAGGTGTGTGCTTCTTCCAAGGTCATCAAGTACCTAATTCAAAATAAGTTGGACATTTATACTGTTTCCTAAGCATGAGTTGTGTAGGGGAAAAATACTTTTCTGAGGACGGTTAATAGATCAGACATATATATAAAAGAGATATATAAAAGAGATAGTATTGAGATATTGATATTTATTATAATTGATTTGTTAGAATAATAGTATGATTGTGTTCCTATTTAGACTATACCTCTTATGTATATAAATAGTTGATTTCAACCTTTTCAATAACATAAGAAATATTGATATTCAATACTAACATAACATGTTCTCTAAAATTTATGAGATACTATTGGATTTTTACATTCAAATAGGAAACTTTAAATCCAATTTTGTGGCTAAAATATGAGTAAGGTATGATATATGTAAGATATCAGGTCTCATTTTAATATTGAGTAAACAATTAATTAGGTAGATATTGGAAAAATTCAATGTTTTTCAATGATTATAGATAGAGTTTGAATTTTTTTTTATATATAGAGAATGTTAAATTTCTCCTTACAAATCAATTTTGTAGAAATGAGTTAGAGTAAAAAACTAATTTTAATAAGTACTCAAACCTTATTCAAGATGTGTTGAGTCACATTCTATCAAGTTTACAATACCGGGCCACTCACTTTTTATATATTATATGTTTGTCTGAGATGTCCAATATTTGGCGTGAGAGAAGTGTGTAAAAAGTTTCACATTGTATATTATATGATTTGAATATATGTTTATAAGAGGAGACAATCTTCACCTTACAAGTTGATTTTTGAAGTTTCTACGAAGGAAATTACAACAACCCTGGATTGTTTTGGGACTACACTAAAGTGTCTGTTGGATAGAAAAATAAAACTATTAGTATATTCCCAACCATTAGGGAAATCCATAGTAGAACAACAAAGAGACGATTTAAGGAGGATCAAACTAAGCTCTAGATATCATCTTAGACCCTCTTAAAGTTTGAGTTAGTCTTAACTCATTCTTACAAAGTCGACTTGTAAAGTTAGGATTGTCTCTACTTATAAATATATGCTCACGACATATAATTTCCGATGTGAGACTTTAACAATAGTTAAGTACTTATATTATCTATATTGTTAAAAAAGTCTCACGTCAATGATATTTGGTTTGAAGATATGTTTATAAGTGGAGGTAGTGTTTACCTTACAAGTCAGTTTTGTAAAGTTGTGTTAGACTCAACCATAATTATAAGAGACTTTGATACCATCTTAGAATATGGATTGAGACTCTTTAACACACTCATTCACGTCTATCACTATTGGACTTGATGCATAGATGTAAATGATTGATGACCTGATATCATAATTAATTTGATAGCATGTTGTCAAGTAGATCTTAGATATGCTCTTATGCCATCTTAGAATGAGGATTAGGTCAACTCATTCATAAAAATATGGTATGTGGAACTCTTAACACACCCTTTCACACCTAAAACTAATGGACTTTATGCATGGATATAAATGGTGAGTGACTTAATAGTGGAAACCTGATATCAGGTGGTCCAACTAATCTTGAATAGACTTCGATGCCATATTAGAATATGTATTATGTCTAATTCATCCCTACAAAATTGGTTTGTGAGACTCTTAACACATCCTTTCAAACTTTGTATTATTGGACTTAATGCATAAATATAATGAATGGGTGACTCGATAGTAGAAACCTAATAGTAGGTGATCTAATGTGTCTTGAACTAGGCTTTGATGCCATCTTAAAATTTGAGTATCACATACAAAATCGAAAGGTTAGTATTCACCTCACTTATACACATATAATCATGTCAAATATTGTTCGATTTGAGACTCTTAACATAACGCGCATGCCTCAATGATATTGAAGCGGATATATGCTCTAGGGAGACTAGGATCAAGGGTAAGGAACAAAGACTCAGACAGTAGATCATTTATGTTCTTCCACTGAGACTAAGAACAAGTGAAATATGACACATTTTCATGAAATTTGACATCGTTGAAGACAAAAAATTTCAACTACAAGAATAACAACAATTGTATGTACTTTATTTTTTTTAGGTGTATAACAAAAAAAAAGATACATTTGAAAGCACGAGGATCCAACTTTTTGCATTATTGTTTATGAACATGAAGAAACGCAACATAATCAAACACACAAGACTCAAGATTTTGTAATATGAAAATTGAGAAAAAATGCGAGAGCATAATTTAAACATGACTAACATTACCTGAGATTTGAGATGAGACCCGATTAATCTGTAAGAAATGCATCTCCCCTATAAAAGTTGAAATTTGAAATAATAGAGATCGAACAATTTTAAGAAAATGACGAATCGTTTTTCTTTAGTAACACCATTTTATTGAGGAGGTCATCCCATGTAAATTTATGAATAATGACAAATTTATTAGTGAAGTTGAAAAGCACATTATTAGTGTATTCTTTACTATTGATAGATATTATATTGTAAAAATTTATCCATTTTGTATAATTAAATTAAGTTCAACTCAAACTTTAACACGGTGTATTAAGTGTTTATCTATTGTACATTGAATAAACTTCTATTAGGATACTTATATATAAATATTCAATTATAGATAAGAGGAGGTGCATTAAGAGTCTTGGATCACTATTATCAAGTCATAGAGCTAGAAATGCTGCCTAGAACAAGTTATTAAATTTAATATATCGACATATATGATTATTTGTTGAGTAATAAGTGTATTGATTCGTATATGAATTTCTTGATAGAACCCCACAAAGATTTGTTGGTTCTACGACCAAGTCCCAAATCATTCTATTTATCCTGTACATGGAATGCTACTCATCTTCCTTTCTTGTATCTCAAAAAGAGAACACACAAAAACAAGAAAATGTTAATCTTCAAACACAATTATCCAACGCGGTTTCTCAACATTGCAAATGAATTCTTCACTGTTTTGATCCAGTCATGGAGCAGGTAAACCAAAACCACTATCAAACCTAAAACACATTGCATCACATGTGGCCCAACAACACAACATTAGGTGATTTGTTCAATATACTAGTCTAGTATGAGTGGTTTCATCCTTTTCTTTACCACTCACTATATATATACATATCAAACAGTCCAATCCAATAGGACACAGAGTAATAATAGTAATCATGTCTTTCATCAAACTCATTCTTTTTGCAACTTTCTTCCTCTCATTTACATTCTCTCACGCTCATCCTCCACGCTTCAACTTTGGCTGGGGTGGTGGTCATCATCATGGTGGAATGTCCTTTGGTCTTTCTCCTCAATTCTATCAGTTTTCATGTCCTCAAGCTAATGACATTGTCATGTCAGTCTTGGAGAAGTCCATTGCCAAAGATATCAGAATCGCCGCTTCTCTTCTTCGACTTCACTTCCACGATTGCTTCGTCCAGGTAAACTAATTACAAACATAATAATACCAATACATGTTTTACAAATAGGTCTGCGGCCGCAATCTGAGTTGCAACATCCTCAAAGTTTTTTTTATGTAACACATTTTATCGTATCTTATACAATATCAAGAATGGCGACAGCAACTAAAACTATACAATTATAACAAATGAAATTGGCTTTTGTATCTAAAATTTTCTTTCTCTTTGATGACAGGGTTGTGACGCGTCGGTTTTGTTGGACGATAGTGCGACGGTTGCTAGTGAAAAAAATGGCGGGCCTAATAAAAATTCGCTCCGAGGTTTTCAAGTGATTGATGAGATCAAATCTAAATTGGAACAAACATGTCCTCATACAGTCTCTTGTGCAGACATTGTTGCACTTGCTGCTAGAGGATCCACTGTCCTTGTAAGGGAAAAAAGCACACGACTCAAATTGAAATGACCACCTTTTACATATTTTGCATGTCACATAGTACATGCTTAAATAAGTTGATAATCTAAGATGATAACTCGAGTTTATAAGCGATTTGACTTGAAATAAAGACCTAAAAATGTAAAATTAGATAATTTTACGAGTTAAGACTCGACTTTAACAATCATGTTTAATCTAAAACTTCAATATTATTTTGAAACAGAGTGGAGGACCTAATTGGGAGCTACCATTAGGAAGGAGAGACTCAAAAACCGCCAGCCTAAGGGGTTCAAACAAAAACATCCCTCCACCAAATGCTACCATTGAAGGACTCTTAACATTTTTCAAGCGTCAAGGTCTTGATGAAGTAGACCTTGTTGCTCTTTCAGGTCAAATTTTATAATCTTTTAAACGGAGATTTTTAATGACACTTTCTATTAGTGTTACATTTGAAACATTTTTTTCTTAATGTAGGTGCACATACAATTGGTGTAGCAAAATGTGCAACATTCAAGCAAAGACTATACAACCAAAATGGAAACAACCAACCAGATGAAAATCTAGAGAAAACATTTTACTTTGGTTTGAAAACAATGTGTCCGAAATCAGGTGGTGACAACATCATTTCTCCTTTGGATTTTGGTTCTCCAAGAATGTTTGATAACACATATTACAAACTCTTACTTAGAGGAAAAGGATTACTTAATTCAGATGAAGTGCTTGTCACCGGAAATGTTAGAGAAACTCATGAATTGGTGAAGAAATATGCACAAGATGAGAGTCTCTTCTTTGAACAATTTGCATTGTCGATGATCAAGTTGGGAAATCTTCGTCCTCTTACTGGATTTAATGGTGAAGTTCGAAAGAATTGTCGCCGAGTTAATTAAGATTAAGAAGCATAACTATATCTTATTATAATTAAGTCATTGAGTGTTATGTTTTGTGTTTTTTTTTTCTTTCTTTTCTATTAACATGGTGCTATATATTTAATTAAGAAGCATAACTATATGTTTTGCATTTTTTTTAATGTAGAAGAAGGGAAAATTTTAGAAGTGCTAAACCTATGGGTAGTTATGAGAGTTTGAATTGTGTTGCATCTATATAAAGTTAGATAAGCTTGGTGTTGAAAGTATGTAGTTGAGTGTTTCTGTTGCTTCTATCAATATTTTCTTTGGATGGAAATTTATGTTGCTTCTATATCTCTGTGTTTCTTAAATAAGCTTATTTTGTTGTTGAAATATGTAGCGGTAAAGAGCTTTGTCTTGGTTGCACCTACAATGAATAAATTGGAACTTATTATTCACCATAGTAATGCTCGAATCTTCCTCCACCCATGCTACTGCAATGCCTCCAGCAAAACCTTGATTATCATTAGCACATAACCAGTCATAACCCACTCTAAAGAGAGGTTTTTGAAGTTTAGCAGGGACATATCTTGTTGTCATAATAACAATAATACTAGGCTTATGGACACTAAGATATTGTTTGCGATATCTGAAAAATCATTTACTAGCAGCTCTTCTACAATTCCATATTATAATACTTTGTTGTGTAATCATTATAACGTGATAAAAAAGTTGACTTAATCACCCTGGCTCTACATATGTGAACTCCCAACACTCTTCATGATAACTCTTTCTTGACCAATTCCTTAATGACATGTGTCATGCATGCTATTAGTAATACTTTCACCATTACCGTCTTCTGCATTCCATCTGGGGTCTGGGTGCATTCGATTCTGTTGGAAAACAAGTGTGAGTTGTATGGAAAAACAAGTGTGAGTTTTAAGTTCCACGTTGTTTAAAAAAATAAAGGTTAAGTATTTTATAAGTAAGGAGACCCTACATCTATAACCTTAAAGTTTTAAGTGAATATATGGTTTCTCACTTGTTTTATGATTTCCTCTTAGATTATTTTAGATGTTTTTTTTATATTTTCTTTTACATTTTTCATTTTGGTGTTGTGAGGTATTACAACCCTTTTTTTGTTTTTTTTATTTAAATTTTTTAAAAATAAAATTAATTAATTATCTCAAAACTTAAAAAATAAATTGAGTGATGCTCACTACACCTTATGTAGTGGGGAGCAAAGAGGGCATGCAAAAATTTGGATAACCTCAAAATAAATGTTTAAATGTTTAAGATGTTTGAAAAGGAAGGAAAAATATATATAATTGTTAGTCGTTCATTTAGACGTTATTCCAAACGAGTAAGACCGACTTTTGTACTAATCCAATTAATTGAGTATAAGTGTCAATCGATTAGACAATACAAATTTTGTCCTAAATCATTCAGACTGTTTCTGATTTAACTGACATGACTTCAAGACATTTTTATAAAGATTTCTTTAAGAAAAATAGGCTTAAATCAAGTTTTAATAAGTGTGTACGATTTAACCGTATAACTTTTTGAAAAAACCCTTATGTTTTTACTATATATTGTTCGCTCACATGTGACAAAACGAGTTTTCGCACTTTTTAAAGTTGGCCATGAGTGTGATAGTTTTGGCGTGTCTAAATTTCAATCTAAGTAATTTATTATACGAATTCCAACCTCCGGAGTCTTTTAATATCTAACTTTTGCATGTTCTAAAGATGATTTGTTGTATATTAAATGTGTCCAAATTTTAAAATTCGAAATTGAGAATTATTTTTTAAATTTCGTTGTGAGTAACTTATGAGGTTATGAGGTGTAATGAGTAATGTCCAATAAATTTGAGAAGCCCAATCCATTTCTAATTAGCAAGCCCAATCTATTTCTTTTGATTTGGGCCAATCAGTTTGCAGCTCAATTCAATTCAGCCGCTGTCCCTTTGCCCTTGTAAACATTTCGGTCTGCGCACTGAAACTCAACCTCGCCGGAAAACACAATCGGTGAACGCCGCCGCTAATTACAGTTACCGGCAAATTCCGTCTGAAACAATGAAGGTCAAAGTTATATCACGTTCTACAGATGAGTTCACTAGAGAAAGAAGCCAAGACCTTCAGGTAATTCTACTTCTTCATTCTTCTTAATTCAATTCATCATCTTTTTCTCATTCTTATGTTACCCTTTTGTTTTCATAAAGCGCGTGTTTCGTAATTACGACCCCATTCTTCGTCCTCAAGAGAAAGCACTTGAATATCAACGAGCTCTTAATGCAGTCAAGTTGGACAAGGTCAAATTTTCTCCCCTTTGGTGTTTTTATGGGATTTGTGCTATGTTTGTTGCTTTGTTATTGATTTTCAATTTTTTGGTGAATTTTTAGATATTTGCAAGACCTTTTATTTTAGCAATGGATGGACATGTAGATTCTGTTTCGTGTATGGCTAAGAACCCTAGTCAGTTGAAAGAGATTTTCTCTGGTTCAATGGATGGAGGTACTTCAATTTTCCTTACTTTGGTTCTTTTTGGATTGACAGCTTAATTAGGAGCTTTTAGCAAAAACTTTAATCATACAAGTACTTACGTCTAAGCTATTTGTATAACAAAAGATAAGAATAAGTCAAATTGTTTTCAGATAAATTATAACTTGTTTTCATAAGTTATAACTTGTTTTCATAAGTTATTCTAAAGAGTTTATGGAAATAAGCTTATAATAACTTATGGACATGCTATATGCTGTTTTCATTAGCTCTTATGATAATTTTCACTAGTATTTGTTTCCGTAGATAAGCTCAAATAAGCCAATCCAAATTGACACTTAATCACGCTGCTTGAATTTCATGTTTAATTTATGGCTTAATTGTATTGTTGCACATTTGTTATGGCAATTGAAAAGTTTGGATTAAAAAAGGTGGTAATGTCTTGGGATTTGATGCTTTTTTTTTATAATTATTTTGGATTGATGTAAAAGATATCTAGATATAATTAGATATTAGAATGGTTATGGTAATGGAAATGAGTTAAGAAAATTTGAAGGAGTGATGGGTTGATGCAGTAGAAGCTAGAAAGTTAGGTCTGGTACCTTCAGTGTTATCAAATATCCGCAATTGCGGCGGTATGGAAGGTACGCCTGGCGGTTTTTGGGCTTGCCGCAATGGTAAATGTCGGCCGATATTGCAGGTTTTTCTGCCATAATCCACTATAACGGCGCTGCAGAGCGTCCAGTATGGCGCAACTTCTGGCCATTTTTACATCTCTGAAGAAATGCTCTTCTAATTTCAAAATACAAGTGAGTTGGATAATGGATTTTAAGTTCAAAAGATAGTTAGATTCAAGAGGAGTAAGATTCTTTTGAGAGAGTGAGTTTGCAACTCAACATTATTATCAATTATCCCTTGAATAGATGAGTAATCACCTTTACTTTGACTTATCAAACAACCAGGCTTTAATCTTGGCAAGTTCTTGTTGGTTTCAGGCCATTATATTTTTGGCTGTGTAGCATTACTTAGTTAACTGGCTAGATATTTCCAAACCTCCTTTATTTATGGGGCCAGAATGAAAGCTGATGTTTTCATCATGCTTATTGGGCATAACCTTTGTTATCATACAAGTGCGCAATTGTTTAAACTAGAATGGTCTCTTTGCATAGTTCATCATACATATTAATCAAAACGATCTTATGGCATTACTCCTCCTTTTAACTCTCCGAGTCATTTCGGTTTCAGTCCCTTTTTTTTCTTTTTCCTTTATTTACTTTCCCCCTCTCTATTCTAATGGTTACTCTTTCTCCTTAATGCTCAATTCCTTTTTAAACCATTATATGCACACTATCTCATATGAGTTGAAAATCTTTAACATTTGCCTTTGTTATGTTGATTCTGTTTGCAGATATTCGTCTTTGGGATATAGCTGCCGGGTAAAATATGTTTTTTTTATTTCCATTTAAATGTTTCTGTTTCTATCAGGAAATTAGAATCAATCAGATGATTTATGGTATGACCTTTGCATTGAACAACATTTGTATGAATTATGGGCATGCATGTGTTTGTATGGTTAATAATCAGGTTCTTTGTTGGAGCTACTGCTTTCTTCTTCCCTTTCTTCTTAGCATTTAACAGATAATATATAAACTAAAAGTTGAGAGTTTCTCTTATAGATACGAATGGACTTTAGTTTGCTGTATCAAATATGACTTGAGATTTTCTAATTATTTCATGCATAAGCTTATTTTGTTTGACGTTAGGCAATGATGGGAGGGAGGATTTTTTATGATTACGAGTTGTAGGACTCTTATTATGTATCTATTATTTTCGCTTTGTTTGAAAATAAAGATGGACCATTTGTCAGTTCCCTGGTCACCATTGCGGGACTGTGTTGTTATGTATCTAATGTTGCTGCTTTGTTTGAAAATAAAGGCGGACCACTTATCGGTTCCCTGGTCACCAAGGTGCTGTGCGAGGCGTGACAGCATCTACCGATGGTCGCATTCTTGTCTCATGTGGAACTGATTCCACGTAAGTATCAACCTTTTCGTTTTTTTAATTATAATAGTAAACTGACATGTTTAGCCATCAATGTAACTCTTCTAATGTGAACTGGGATTTTGTGTGTTCAGTGTCAGACTTTGGAAAATTCCTGTTTCTTCTTCTATGGAGTCAGATTTCTCAATTAAGACTGTTGAGGTAGAATTTTGTGCTGGAGGATTTTTTTTGTAAAATTATCATTTGGATATATTAACTCACAATTTTTTGAATTTTTTTCCTCTAGCCGGCAAGTGTTTATACTTGGAAGAATGCATTTTGGTAAGTTACAGGGTACTTATTTATTCCAGGAAGATAATAAAATTTCTTGTATTTTTATGCTTACCGAATTCGATTTTCTTTGATTTTTAGTGCTGCCGATCACCAGTGGGATGGTGAGCATTTTGCCACAGGTGGCGCTCAAGTAGATATATGGAACCACAACAGGTTTTGATATCAGTTTCTGATTAGCTTTCATATTTTATCACCACATACTGCTTTTGTAGACTCTTATTTTATGTTGGTGTTACTTCTTTTCTGTAGGTCTCAGCCAGTAAACAGTTTTGTATGGGGATCCGATACAGTGCTTTCTGTCCGCTTTAGTCCGGCAGAACCAAATCTATTGGCAAGTTCAGCCAGGTACACAATGTGATGCTGATGTCAATGATAAAAAAAATCACTGACATCCCCCTTTAAACTTGTATTTCGATCTTTTTCTTTGTTGCACATTTGAATTTTTCTGATCTCATTATTATTTTTTGTTTTTTCAGTGACAGAAGCATAAATCTGTATGATTTGCGTAAGGCTACTCCATTGAGGAAACTGATAATGATGGTAATGATCTCTTATCAATTATCAATAGTTTAATTACAGCACAGATTTATATTTTGGCATATCTTATCAATTTTATTATTAGATTATTAATACTCTGTAAGTTTTTTTTTTCTGATCTTTATTCCAAATATATTCATGACTATACTAACTTATATTCAATGTGGCAGACCAAAACCAATTCTATAGCTTGGAACCCGATGGAACCCTTAAATTTTACAGTTGTAAGTTCATCTGATTCAATTTTACTAGTTGGTTTGAAGCTAATGTTGTTTACAGTTTTTGTAGTCATATTTCAAAATCAAAATCAAATTTTTTGTGATATTTCAATTCTTAATAGACATATTTTATTGGCATGCAGGCAAATGAAGATGGTTGCTGCTACAGTTATGATCTCAGGAATTTGGATATAGCCAAATATGTTCATAAGGATCACGTTTCTGCCGTGTAATAATGGATTTTCTTTAAACATTTACTGTCTTTTGTAATTCTGCAAATCATCGTACTAACATTTTCATCATTCGTTCTACAGGATGGATATTGACTACTCACCAACTGGTCGAGAGTTTGTTACCGGATCTTATGATAGAACAGTTAGTTATCTTAGACTTAATTACAATCTTGTCGTTCGCTTGTTGAGTTAGCTGCATCTATTAACTGTTTCTCATTTGTAGGTGAGAATCTTCCCTAATACTGCTGGTCACAGCCGAGAGATTTATCATACTAAAAGAATGCAAAGAGTATTCTGTGTCAAGTTCACCGGTGATGGAAGTTACGTGATTTCGGGAAGTGATGATACTAACCTCAGGCTTTGGAAGGCCAAAGCATCAGAACAGCTCGGAGTAGTAAGTTGATTTCGTCGTTGACTCACACACACACATATATATCTCTTCCCTTCATTTCCTGAAAATCACTTGTTTATGATGATCCCAGATTCTCCCAAGAGAAAAGAAGAAGCATGAATATCACGAGGCGATAAAGAAACGCTACGGACACCTTCCTGAAGTTAACCGTATCGCAAGGCATAGGCACTTACCAAGACCAGTATACAAAGCTGCTGCATTGATGCGCACTATGGCGATTGCTAAGAAAAGAAAGCATGACAGGAGGAAAGCTCACAGTGCTCCGGGGAGTGTTACAACAAAGCCGTTGCGCATTAAAAGAATTGTCAAAGAAGTTGAATGAGATTTTTGTGAGCCAATGCATGCTGAAAAATGCAATAGATATTTATGAAATGGCAAGAGTTTGTATACTGATTTGTTAGGCAAATAGATGGATATGAGCAGCCAGCATTGATGAAAACAATTGCTAGTTTTGTGATGCAAGAAATTTTGATGTATTATTATTGAGTTTAGTGTACTTGATATTTTCAGTTCAAATTAGTAAAAATGTGATGAAATATGACACTATTGGAGCTCTAACAAAATTGAAAAGAAATGTTCCAAGATTGAATGATCTATCTTTAAATTATTAAATGTAATTATATGATTAGGAAGGATCGCACTCTCCGGTCTTTTTTATAATAGAGAATTGATTTTTTAGATTCATTGATTCAATGTATGTGATTTGTAAAACAGTTCAATCATGTAAATAACGAGGAAGATGAATACTAACCCAAGTTATGGATTTTTCGGAATATGTGAAATGAATTTACAAAATATTGTAAAAAAATTGAAGTATTAAAATAAACTCTGAGAAAAAGATAAATAAATAAAAACAAGATTTAACATTATTGAAACAAGATCTATCCAATCTTGTCATAAACCATTTTGTACAGTGAGAACAGTTTGTACAAAATTTATGTCTCTAAATTCATGAAATTGAAGTAATGATTGAGGGGCCACTTTGAACTTGAAGTATCTCTTTCTTTATGTCTGTCCATTTAAAGAATCGTAAAATCCCAAACACTCATTCATGGCACATTCACACTACCTAGCTAGCTGTCTTGTTTCTGATGCTGTTGTTTTTCTTGATGTCATTTTTGGATGCTGCTGATTTTTTGCTTAATTTGTATTTCATCATTCTTACAATTTTCAAGAACCAGAATGCACTTACAAGCAGCAAACCCAATCCCATTGCCTGTTTAACAATCAATTTTTCATTAATATATTTTTGCAATAAAATAGAACATTATTATAATTATACCTTTATCAGAAATGGATTATCGGAAGTTATTGTTACGTAAGTGATACATGGTCCAATAATCATCCTTGCAAATGTAAATATTGAAGCAAATAGAATCTGCACAATTTTCATACATATTAGTTCAAAAATTTCATCTGTCATTATTATAAATGAAGATTTTATTTTTAAGTTTATTGAATTACTGATGTATCTGATTGATCAGTTATTCGTTAAATCTATAAAAAAAATAGGTTCGAGAGACTTTTTTTTTACTTACATCAGCAGTCAAATTAAGGGCAGTGTCCTTGTAACCAAGTTCCTTTAGAAGTTCTCTCAAATGTAAAAACGGGCTTGACATTTCTGTTACCCAAACTGCCCCTACCATTTCTGAGCCACACTGTTTTCAGTAACATATATGGCAAAATGTTACTACAAGCTTATTAAATAATCTCCATTCATTAACACTAAAAATTAATTTAATTACCTTTTGATAAGCGAGACCTGCTATGAGTCCAACAATGCTTACCAAATGATGGATACTATTATCCAAATTGATTTTTTGGTCGAATAAACAACAAACTAGATCATAAATCAGATACGAAAGGCTCACCGCAAGAACTTGCATCTGAAAAAACAAAACAAAATTTAATTTCATTAATCTGACGAATAAAAAATTCAGAAATTGAATGAAGTAATGATTCTATATATATAGTACCTGTTTGTGGGAAGAAGTGGCTGCCACAGGACAAATTGGACATTTCCAATCTTCAACCGATAAAGTAGCCAACGTAACTGCTAATATTGCATGAATTGTAGAAACAATTCTGTTGCAGAAATCAAATGAACGTTTTGGAAAGATTTTTCTGACTACAAGAAAAGTTGTTGCCCATGAAAAAACTCCAACAACAATTAACTTTTTAATGTACTCTTCCATTTATTTCCCTATGCTATGAACTGAAAAAAATAAGCAATTAAGTTTCAACAAATTGATACAACATAGAGAAGAGAGAAGGTTTTGTCGATTCTATTAGGTTTCTACTTTCTACTATCTAAATATATAAAGTATGTGTTATTATGACAAAAGAAAAGGGTCTTAAAAGGTAATAATAACAAGCTAACTTAGTCATGTATAAATGGAAGAATAGCTACCATAAAAAGGTTGCAACCAATGGTGTTGTAGACATGGACAGATAAATGTACTTGTCATTCAATAATGACACAACTACCACGTTAATGATAGGTGTCCCATTCTCCAAACACAGCAACACTAATTGTATTATTAACAACCTTTTTAAGTAATTAACTAATTAAGGACTTATGCTATAACAAGAAAAGTTATTTTAAAATCATCACTGTATATACTTCAAAACACAATAGTTTTGGTTGAAAACATATGGTATCGGTTATAAATATATGTCATATTTATAAATATATGTCGGTATTTAATATTGATATAACGTTGTATTGACAAGTCTAATTGTTTTAGATATTTCATTTTCTTAAATTATTAACGACATTAACAAATCAATATTGTGACGGCTACGTATCAAGGAGGAAAGTCAATGAGAAGGGTAAGAAGGTAACTTAATAGGAGGGGTAGGTATGAGTTAGAAAATGAAATATAACTAAATTTCTGTACATTGAAATTTATTTGACCTACCATGAAGGTTGCGAGGAAGATGGTCCTACAAGTTTTAAACATATGTGGAGTTATAGCCTTCAATTTTGGTGAGATTGTGTTGGAAAATAATCCCCACACACTTCACCAAATAAAAACAACAAGGGTACACATAAATTTGAATGCAAAAAACTTACACGTTTTAATTGGTTTTAGATGAAACGATTCAAAAACTCTTGTACTTGTAGGAGATGAAAGTGTGGCTTCTTTCTTATAAAGAAGGGGTACATTTTCAACATCTTGACATTATTTATTTCATTCTTTCAAAGATGAATATAGCCTTCCAATGGGTCATGTATTTAATTATAACAATTTACAATGTGTTGGAAGTTCACACTTTATCTCACATTTTGTTGTTATTATTTGTTTTTAATTTCAAATTAATCAAAATCACTACAATGGAATAAGGGAATCTCAATCACAAAAGACATGGTGATTATCGATGCAACTAGACATATTCTTTCCTTTGTACTCCTATCAATTTTAACGAGACTCATGTCATGCCAACAAGTTCCAGAAATATCTTGTTTTGATTGAAAACATGAAAAATATATTAAACAAGAACAATATTCTTAAAATCTCGTTATTTCCAAAGAAAAACAATATGTTGTATTTTTTAATCTGAGCATTTTAAACGGAACATTGAATATAATGAAACTTCTTTTATAAAAGCATTAGAACAATATTTATGAACTACATATTCATTCAAAAACAATGAGGTTATAAGTGTGTGAGTTCTTTCAATTATAAATTTTTAAGTCTCTACATTTTCAACCAATTTAAACTACTACTTATATTATTCACACTTACTACACTCTCATCAAATTCAAGATAGTATAATCAATTATAGTAATAGTGTAATCCGTTACCATTCCTCAGCAACAATCAGTAGTGTCGACCAACACATCTCGAAACCTTATATTTTTCTAAAATTAATATAGTATATATTTTTTGATATAAAATCGTTAAATTACTATAATAATTTTATTTTCAATTGATAGTGAAATTAACTTATGTAAACAATCTTCTCATAATGTAAAAATATCATAATTGAAAAAAAAAGCCAAAATTTTAAAACAAATACTTAAATATCAAGTCTCCCATAATATTAAAAGAATTCAAAATTTTGTTATCTATTCATGTGATTTTTAAATTAACAGATTAAATAATACATAATGTAAATGGTTGTTATTATTATATATTTTATGTACATGTTATTATTTAATTGACATATAAAATAATTTAATTTTTTTTATAAAAAATTAATTAATTAAAACCATATAAACATAAAGTTAAAATTTGAGGCCTTAGACGGTAGCCTCGGTGGCCTACCCCTAAGGTCACCCCTCGCAGCCAGAATCAGACAAAGACAACATGTATTCGATTACAGTATTGGTGTAACTTATTACTACCATTAAATTTTATATATTTTGAAGTCAATAGTATTTTGTAATGAGTTATAACTTTAGTGTAATCGATTACATGTTTAAAAAGTTTGTTCTTCATTTTAGTTGGTTAGCTACATTGATGTTGTTGTGAATTTTGTTGTGAATTACGGCAAAATTCAATATCAATTTGTGAGGCAAAGAACAATAGCAAACAAAATAAATGGTCTTCAGCAATAATAATCCGTACACAAATAATATAATAGAATAAGGTAAGAAAAAATTGAAGGTTTTTTTACCCAGTTCGGTCAAACGATCTACTCTAGGAAAGATAGCAGCTCTCCAATTCACTATACTAAAAAAAGAGATTACATATGAGTTACAAGAAAATAACATTCGCCTTCAGGTTCCCAAGAACAACCCTGAAGGCGTCCAAGAACAACCCTATTTTTTACCCAAGTGTTTCCTTTGTGCATAACTGATACTCTATGTTATAGCTTTAAACCCTTAGTTTTCCTTGTTGTTGAAAACTCTAAGATTTTCACACACCAAACATATAAGAGATACATATTTATAATAGCAAATATCCAACAAACAAAGCCCAAAATCACATGGATCCATGGACCGAATCGAAAAAGTCCGAAAACTCAAAAACACTATTCACCGTACGACCGACACTATTCACCCGCTGATTTTTTTTTCTTTTCCTTTTCGTCCAGTTTTCGCGGTAAATGCAATCTCTAAAATATGTTTTGTTTCTCTTCGTCAACAAAGATTTTAAGACACATTTACAACAATCTCCACCTTGACTTTAAACCGTGTTGATACCAATTTAACAATAAACAACATTGTTGCTCTCTACCAAGTTGAAACTTTAATAAATAACTTTGATCAAATTCAACAAACCCTTGAATCTTGATCTCGCAATTGCATCCACTTGTTCCCAATTACCTTTTTCTGTCTAGGTAATTTAACAAGCCTACAAGTATGATTTTTCA